GATGTTAAGCCTAACAAAAATTTTTTAAAATAATAATCGTCGCTATTGTATCGTTAAAAATTAGAAAATTAAGCCTCGTTTAAATACTGGCTGCCTTTCATGGTCGAATGAGTGTTGCCAGCTAAAACACATAAAAATAATATTAAAGTAGCCAAGACATAGCCAAATATTGTAGCGCCACATCATTAGCGGACATTTGAAATTTGCTGACTAGGACGGTCGGTTAACCGAGGGGTCGGTTGATCGGGGGCCGATAATCGAGGTTCTACTGTACACCATACAGTGAAACAAACACAGATAAAAATAACAATGTAATATACATACAAGAGGAATACCTCATTACTATATATTGGGCATCTGAGAAGGGAAAAATTATGTATTTAAAAAGGTCCTTAAAATTAAAAAAAAAATAAAACTCTGTGAAAGTAAACAATACAATAGTAAAAATCGAAGAAGTCAAGTCTGGTCCTGGCTACCTCCCCTGAATCCATAATTTGTAAATTGGAAAGTTTATTAAAACTTAGGTAAATCTTATTTACTTCAAAAAATTTAGTAAATTTTTTGAAGTAAAGAGGGACAGTCATAGACCATACTGGCATATAATAATCAACAATACAGATTGGAAATTGCCAAAGAAAGTTCTCAAGATAAAATGAGAAGTGAGTAGGCGACAATGACACTACAAAATACCTGTAAGTATAGCTAATTTTTTAGAAAGAGAATTAATATGATTATTAAATGATAACTTTTTATCAAATACAATATCAAAATCATTAATCGTATGGACAAAGTTAAAAGGTGACCACCTATGAACAAAAGAGATTGTGTTGAATTACATAAAAGGGCACATGGCAACTGTCTTATTAATATTAATCCCTAGTTTATATAATTTCATACAGGCAATAAGTTTATTTAAATCAGATTATAGAGCAATGGAATATGAGTTTATAAATTTAAAGCCATCAACATATATAACTATATTTAAATGAATATTAAAATAATAAAATTCAAGTAAGTCATAAAAAATAAGTTACTTAATACAGAACCTTGTGAGATCCTGCATTGTGGAGAAAAGTCTGTAGAAACAAAATTGCTATGTTTAATTTTAAAAATATGAAATAAAAAGTAATTATTATACCATAAAATGTTAACAAGACGTATATCAAATTAATTAGAAAGTATATACAGTCATAATAACAGAATCAAAGACTTGGCTGACATTTACATATACATCATATTTAGGTTTTTTTTCAAAATTATTAATTATATCAAAAGAGAGATCAAATTAGTAATGATAGTTTTATGGCAAATGCTGCAATGCCACAAAGGATTTAATCTAGTGGCTACAGGATAATAAAAACGTTGTGAAGGCAATTTTCAAAAATTTTAAATATCACAGATGACAGTCAAATAGAGAAGGGTAGAAAGTGCAATTTTTTTTTTTAGAATAACAAAGACAATGGAAGAATGCCATTCATTAGGAATACATCCCATTTGAATAACTGCAGTAAAAATGCAAGAAAGAACAGTAGCTGCAATCAGAGAAATATTAATGTAAAATATAATGGGAATAAGACAGGATTAAAATTAAAACTACAAAATTGCATAGCAAAGTTTTCAAAAAGAAAGAAATATGTCTTGACATGCTATTCTTTGAAAAAAAAGGTTTAAAAGAAACTTTAAAGTGATTTTTGAATTCTTTATAAATCTCAGAGACCTTATGATCAAAAATTAACTGTGACTGAGTGGAGCAAGTTTAAAAAATTTAGGGATAAAACCCCAGATAGTTTTTGAATCAAATGCAAAACAGTTCACCAAGGAATTAAAATAATCAATATATCTATTTTGACAGTCCTTGCAGAATTTCTGTAAGATGTGATGATGTAAAGATATTGAGAATTGCCAATAGCCTTCCACAATTGCTATCTAATCTCTTAAGGGGAGGAGCTAAATCATATACCAGAAAAAGAATATTTAAATAATTATTATATTTATTAAGAATACCAGAATAAGAATTTTGAAACTGTGTTGTACTATTTTTTGAGAGTATCAATTAACACAAGATCGTGTTATTAATCAAACACATGGCTTCTTTTCCATCTTTATTTAATTGATACAGTACTTCTACATGTTTTGGGCTTTTGGCTGAGGAGGAGGCCAAAAGCCTGAAATGTGTAGAAGTACTGTATCAATTAAATAAAGATGGAAAAGAAGCCATGTGTTTGATTAATAACACAATCTTGTGTTTAATACTCTCAAAAAGAATATTTTTTTTAATAATAAGGAAACAATATTATGAAAAATTTAACATAAATAATGAATATTTGACTGATAGATAATTTTCTATCATCTAGAAATGATCAATCTAGAGAGCATAGGAAAGTAGAAACCTGGCTCAAAGTAATGTGATGATGTCACAGGCAAAAACATATATTTAAAATAGCTGAAATGCCTATAGAGATTAGAGATAAATCTAACTGAATGGCAAAATGATCTGAAGGAAAACCACACATCACATAGCAGTGTTATCACTTCACAATAATGAGGTATCTTCCTCCTCCAATATGGCTTGTATATGTAATTTTTAAATATTCCTTGTACAATATTTCAAAATCATTATCATTCTTTATTAACAAACACTTGTCATAATTAAAAGCAAATCATGTTAACTTGTAATTTTTAAAAAATTGTTTCAAACTATGGTTATTTACAGATTTCATATTATTATTTAATAATTAAATTAGGTAATAATTATTTAATTTTATATCAAAACAAATAAAATCTTTATGTTATTCAGTTTAAAAATAAATCTTTTTTAAACTGAATAACATACAAATATCCTTTTATACTGAAACATAAACCTCGAAAAGATAAATTATTGTATTGCGCTTGTTTAACAGATTAAGAAGTCTTATTTATTTCAAATAAATATTTTTGAAGGCAAAATGCTTCATCTTTAGATGTATATTTTAACATATTAAAAAAAAAATTCTATTTAAATTTGCATCTGAAACTTCATTTTAAGACTTTTTAATCTGTTAAAATTTTTTTGTATTTGTTTGTTTGTTTGGTTAACTTTGTTGTCTAGTATTAAATATCTGTATATACAGTAGAACCTCGATTATCCGGACTAATTGGGGATGAAGGTAGTCCAGATAAGGAAAAGTCTGGATAATCGAAACAAATACTTTAATTTGTCTTTTAACGATAATACAACACGTTTTCTTTTCGATGACATATCGGTAATATTAAAAATAAATACTGTATTTAAATCGTGATCAAAATTTCAAGAAACAAATGTTTTATTGAATTTGAACTACTACTGACCAGCGCTAACTGACTACCTATTGTTTAAAAGGCCCTCTGGCGGCTCAAGAATACGGATTTTATAAAATAAAAAGCAGTTGAAACTGCATTTTTATGAATAAAAATTTGACAAACTATTTATCGTTTTATGACGAGTAAAATTTTTTGTCGCATTCTCAGCTTTTAAGTAATGCATAAACCTTCGAGGTGCGAGGCCCTTCGGACTGCGAGGCATAGGTGGTGGACCACGTTGCCCATGCCTTACGCCACTCTTGGTTTTAGAAATGATGTAATTTGAGTATAAATTATTTATAAATACGCATGTCAAGTTATATTTTTATTACGATGCAAAATATATTTAAGAGTTTACGACNTATGAATATTAAATATATTGTAATTATAAAAACAAAATACTAATAATTAGATTATTATTATTATTTTGTAAATATTTATGCTTGAATAATTCATAAAACATACACAATGAAACCAGTGTTAATACACTGGTTTCATAATCACTGATAATGAAACCAGTGTTAATACACTGGTTTCATTATCAGTGGCGTGCCATGACATTTGATGATAGGTAAGCTGTGTTTCTGTAAGAAGCCGACACCCAGGGGCAATCAGTCAATTGCATGTCAGTGATGATCTAGGGCAGGCATGGCCAACATATGGCCCGTCTAATCAATTTATGTGGCCCGCGATTAATCTTTCAATATTAGCTACTTAAGTCCAAATATCTCGACGAAAAATTCTGACGCCTAAAAAAAAGAAAAGGTCAACAAGTAACTGTGCGATTAGAGTTAACGCTCCATTACAAATGTTTTCAGCACAGCATAGAATGTTGATAATGTGAAAAATGTATCTGTAATCTCTATGTACAATTTAGTCTCTACGGGGTGACACAACAATGAGATCTCGCACCACCTCAAAATCTTGCTAGGGCAGCCTCTGGTTTGGGCCATGAAATAAGTTTTCTTTCCAATTCGGCCCGGGGACAAAAACTGTTGGCCACACCTGGTCTAGGGTCCATTCGTATCGTTTATTCGATAAGCCAGTAAAAACCGTAGACTTTTCTAAATGTATTTTTAATATCACAATTACTTTTTGAATCGCTAGCCACGATATAAGGACTACAATTAAAAATAAAATAATAAAAACTTACTTAGTGAAATAAAATGCGTGGTGGATGTACCAGTACATACCTGGTACAAAATAGTCTTCAATTGTATGAATATACTTTTAAAGAAAATTATAATTAAATATAGCTTTGTAAAGAAACGTACATAAAAATATAAAATATTCTTTACTTTTTAAATCTTAAAACAATGCACTTAGTCAAATAGCTCCCTACGAGT